CTCTGCGTGATTCTGAACAAAATTCGAATTTTACTTAGAATTTTTGAACAGCAAAGTGGACAAATTCATTTTCTCTTTTTGCCGTTCATCCTGTTAAGATGCAAGCATCTTCAGCGCATCGTTTACATTCAGTTTTAGTTTCACGAGCGAATAATTACGACCGTTGTGTTGAAAAAATACAACTGTGTCTGTTAGAAAAATCAAAGATCACATCATCTTCTATATAAAAAGAATTTTACTTTTATATCGCCAAATTTACAGCTAATCCAGCCAATTGGACCTCCGGTGATATTCGGTGAAGAGTTCAACAAGACAAAACAACTAATAATTGTCTATCATCGTCATGCTTATCAACTAGGAGCGCATTACAATTCGACAGCTTCAAAGTCGATCACACAATAACCCAAATTCTATATAGAACGTTGAATGTTGTTACTCTGTTGAAATATGTTACTTTTAGTTTTTTGAGGAAATAAATATTTATGGAATTATGCTTAATAATAACTGATTTCTTTCGAAAATTTCCAATCGAATGTCAACATCCTAGAGCTCAACATACATACAGATATGGTGCTTCCAGATAAATTTGATTGAATCAAATGACAGGATAGATACTACAACCACTTCAATGAAAATTGGTGCTCGTCCTTGTTGAGATCATCACTTAACCAAAAACTAAAGACACATCAAGCCGTTAAGCTAGTCGGTCCAGTTGTTCGTCCTCGAATAGGAAGATAGAGTTTGAATTCAGCAGGTAATTCGTCCTCGCTATATAGTCGGTCGGCAAAGTAGATACGACGTAACCGACAATTAGCATGGACCTTAATTAGATACTAGCATTAAAGATGTATCGAATTACTACTATCTACTATCTACTTTGGTTGATAAGGTGCATTGTTGAATAGATTATAAGTCAATTTGACTTTCCCAGGCTTTGGAGAAGGCGAATCCGCCGAAACGTCAGCATTGTATCTTTATTATGTTGTAGTATTGTATTTCTAAAAAACTATTATAACGGCCATGCTCTCTTATCAGAGAAAAGTAGTGCCCGGTAAAAAAGATGATCAATTTCTACAATTGCAATGACTGACAGTGATAGACTACTCAGCGATTTATTCGCGATTATGGCCATTTTCCTTTGGCAATCCCATCGTATCAGATTTAGTTATCTTTGTGGCATGTGCTTTGAGCATCATATGTAATGTCGTGCCATATGTGAATCATAAAACGCTCCTGACCATCTCGCGGTTAAATGAAATCCTCGTAGAAACAGCTTCTTGTAATTTATAAGTTATTGTTTTCTCGACCCACACGTGGAAAATCTGCGGCCAAGTTCGACTGATTGCGAAAAGTCAAGAAAAAAACCGCGACAGAACGGCAGACTTGAATGAAGCTCATCAAAGTCAACTTGTATCGAACAGGGCGTGCCACTCCCACTAAAGATATGCATTGAACTCAATGCATACGGTTGTAAATGTGTGAATTCACTGCTTTGTTGACAGTCTTTTCATAATGCCATAGAAGCTGAACATATGGGTAACACATGTCGCACATCCTCATAGAGCGCTGAGTAGAATGCTCCTGTTATTTCTGCTTTTTTATCGATTTAACTGATAAGAGTTCAACGTTTCTTGTCGATGTTATCGAGTTTCATTCTGCCACTTTGATGTAGTTAGCTTGAATTCGCAAAAGGTCTGGCTCACCTGTATACGCAAAGTCTCCACATAGTTCGTCCCATACGCTCTTTTCGTGAAATCAGCAAGGTTGAACTGGATTTGATTCCAGCCTTCATCCAGCCTCATAGGCATTGTACAAATAAAAGGCTTGACCCGTGTACTTGATTGGTAGTTTGAAGCGCGGAAACGTCGCTTTACACCTTTGTCGTCAAGGATCTAGAATTACATTTATTGTTGATTAGGTATATATAAATATATATATATATATATATATATATATATATATATATATATATATACAACGAACTAATAAATTACGAAGAAGGCACGTACCTGAACCTCGAATGTGAAGTATTTCTTCATGTTTTTCACTATCATTACAAAATACGGCAACTTTATACCCAGTGTCTTTCGCGGATCATGAGGACAAGAAATATATGAAGTACTGAAAATAACTATGATGAACAGATTGCCAAGGAAAGTAAATCCGATGATAACTCGCCTAACGTTTGCGCCCATGACTTCAATTATTAGAGATTGGATTTCATCATCCGTAACTCGCTTTATGTGTCCGTTTTTGACCTGAAAGCCAAGTAGTTGAATCTAAGTAGCTATCTATATGAAGATGGGTTGACTGATATGATATTATTTGTAAAAATCTAACATTAATCATAACTGAACAGCCAATTTTAATGACTACTAACAACTGCAGATGAAATTTAATGAGTATTAATTATCCATCTAAGTACTCGAACTTATGCCTGGGATTAGCGCTTTATCGAGGCGACGAGTGTTCCAGGTGACTAACTGCAAACGGAAAGTTCGCATTCAACAAGATCAGTGAAGCTAATACGTCCCACATTTTTCTGCGGAAACACGGAGTACCCACTTCCAGACATCTCCACCGCATTAGAAGAAATGTAGTTTCATAGTTCATAAAACCGTCCCTCTCACGATGATGACTCGCGATAATGTTGTAGGGTTGCTTGAAACACTAGGCAGGAATTCAAAATGAGAAGTGTTCTGATAAGCAGAAAATGCTTTGTGAAACATCAACTCCCATCTAAATACCATCTGATTAACGATAATTAACTAAAGAAACCTCCCCGATAGTTATCCGCCTTATAGTGCTGGAAGGTGTTACTGGGTACCGAACTGCAAAGTACAGCAGGGGAATGGGAGTTCAACACACAGCAGGGCCATTAAAGCTAAAAAGGCCGACGTTCCCATCAAGGAGGCCCAGCTAAAAGTTAACCGTACCAGGAATGACCGCCGTCTTAGTAGTTAATAGTCCCAAGGTGGTAATCTCTGTCTAGTTAACAGAGGCCTATGACTGCTCCAGCGTGGTAACGACCTCAGGAAGCCTCGTCCAGGCTTACCTTGAACCTCCAGAGAACAAAACAACTAAACGAGCACTATTTCCTGTGTTGGGACTCGCACTATCAGAGAAGACGGGCGGTCCGAGTATCCAAGTAATTCAAGAAAGTTGAAAAGCATCTCAATATGAAATAATAGGCCGTTACATAAGTGTTAGCACTAGAACCACAAACACCAATCTTTTGCGAACATTTCAGTATACAACTTATCTATACTGGCTTCAAGATGGAGCTGTCTTGGGAACAAATTCGCTAGCTACTCATGCATGAATGGCACGTAAGGGAAAGTACTACTGAAGCCGCGCGCAAGATCAATGAAGTTTAGTCCTGTGGACGATCCTACTGCGACTGATCCTCCAGACTGTTTATTCCATGCAGCTCTAAACTTCGTGAACCACTTGCTAGCCGTCCTTTCTACAAACCTATCATAGGCCCAGGCTCCGTTAATCTTACGCGCCGTATCACTGGCATTTTCCACCCGAAGTTGTTCCCAAGATAGCTCCATCTCGAGCAAGTATAGGCAGGCTGTATGCCAAAACATTTGCTAGAAAATGTGCAATTGAACGTTGCCGAAATCATGCACTTCTAATTACTTCTGGCTAGTAAATTTGGCGCTTATTGCTCTAGTGTCAAAACCTATGAAACGACCTAATGGTCCATTTCAGTATAAAGGCACTTCAAACAAGCCATCTGATGAAAATCACTAATACAAAGGATATGCACCAACCTGTTTATCCCAAAGCTGCAATGGATTGCTGCCCACACTGTAGAGTACGGAGAGTAGACCACTTTGGAACGTGTTGTGGAACATTATTCCAGCAAATCTCTTGCGAAAACAGCCAACAAGGAAGTCTGAACCTTAAGTGACGGAATGAAAAGTATTCACAGAAGCATAACAGTTGCCATGACAACGATTTGACACGAACGCTAGCACATATCACTGATATGAGGCGCTGACTAGATTATATAGAGCACAACAGACACCCAAATTACAAGCACGATATTTTACCACTCTGGAGAAATCACTAAGATACGAAAAGATTTTGCAGCACTTTCATGGGAAAAATCCCTGTAGTTCATTGATACGGAGGTGGCCGTAGAGGATCAGAAAAGGTACAAAAAAAAAGACAAAGCTTTCGTTTCGAGTGTTTTCTTGAGACCACTGCTCAAATTTCAATATGCCTGATAATCATTATTTGAGCCAAGCATGTCAGTGTTCTGTCAATGAGGGCTGATTTATAGTGCCCGATACTCGTGTTTCAATCTTGCGATCTCGTCAGTCGGGCAGTTACCCTTTCTCGTCTTTTGCTAATCTCTGTGGGTGCTGCAGTCCCCACACTTAAGGTGTACAACACTCTGTGTTCGATGAAAATTTCACTGCACATAGAGTGTAAAACGTTTGTCGTCGACGACTCTTAGTGTGGGGACTGGAGCACTCACACAGGATTGGTGAAAGACGACAAAGGGTAACTGCTCGACTGACGAGATCGCAAGATCGAAACACGTGTATCGGGCTCTATAAGTCAGCCCTTATTGACAGACCAAAGACAAAGTTCTCGGCGCTGATTAGCCCTAGATAGGTTTGTCATATATTCAACTTCACTAAGCACTGTTTGAAGTTTCTAAATGCCTATTCAACCTTTACAATGACTCGTGGAGGTCTACCAATGTTTCGAGTCAGTGCTACTATCCTCGCAGAATCACTGATTGTGCTGTGTGCTATTGGATTGTACTGTCTTGAGCGAGGATCTAAAAAACAGTCGAATGCAGAGATCAAAATAAGCAAAACCAGCGAGGAACTACGTGGAAGCGAAAATGACCACCTATCGTATTTCGTCTACACATAAGGTCACATTTAACAATCATGAGTCCTTGGGCCTTTACCACTTTTTCGCAAAGTTATGATGTTTCAAATATACCTGTGAGGATGAGTGGTAAGGAGAAATTCTACCTCAGACTGGAGTTGAACCTGTGTTTCACCCATACGGAGGGCGCGTACTGTCACTATACCATCGAGGTCACCGCTTATCCACCACTCACTCTTCAATATCTCTCTATCGGACTCAACTCCCGTTTGAGGTCAAATTTTTGCTTACCACTCAATTCTCTTGGGTGTAAGAGCGTGAGATAAAGATCCAAGAAACTAGTTAAACTACAAAATGCAAGGAACGAAATCACAAAATCGTCGTCAGCTGCGGGTTGTTGAGTTCTCTAGTCGTTTTTTGAGAAACGAGAGTAAAAAAGAGTTGTATTAATTTCGATCTGTAGCTTATACAAAGAAAAAAAAGTGTGAATTATTGAACAATGACGAGGTTAGTAGATGGTCTGTCGTGGGAATCAGAGAGCTGAGCTTTACATAACCTACAGCACGACTGATCTAATGAAATTCGACAATTCGAAAAACAAGAAATGTAATATAGGGGGTCAGTGATTAAGACAGTACCATTAAACCCTTCTTAATGATAACGAAAATCTAGATTTTCAAGAAGACTATTCATTGTCATTCAAATCTCCCTGCTAGCGCTATTCGTAGCCTTCCGAGTCGCTCACCAACCAAAAAAGGCCGTTATGCCGTAGGGTTAGGGTTAATAAACACAATGGTAGCACGCGTTCCCGGTATGGATGAAACGCTGGTTCGACTCCCGTCCAGGATTCAAAGTTCTGGTGATCACTCAGCATCTTTGGATACTTTAGATTGATAGCAGAACGTCAGAAGACAGTAGAATTGTAGTCGCGAATCTCATCGAGGAGTCACGAATATCAGAGGGCAAGACTCTGACGTTCTGCTTCAATCTGAAGTATCCAAAGACGCTGACCGATCACCAAAAACTTCAGACCCTGGACGGGAGTTGAACCAGAGTTTCATCCATACCGCGACTGCGTGCAACCATTCTGTTCATCAATTTAACCTTACGGAATAGCGGCCATTTTTGGGTGGCGAGCGGCTTGGAAGGCTACGAATAGCGCTAGCAGGGAGACTTAAACGCTAATGTATAGTCTTTTTGAAAATCTAGATTTTCATTACTATCAAAAAGGGTTCAATGGTACTTTTCTGTTTAGTGACATAAGAGAAACCGATCCCTTTCGTTGTACAAAAGCTTTTCATAAGAGTGTTAGTGAACATTCGAAGGCTTAAATCTCTGGCTAGCGCGGTACGTTAGCGTTGTTTAGAAAAAGTCCTTTTAGAACGCTTCAGCAAAAAGAAAACACTTGCTTTTCACACGTGCATATTTCTTGCGGGACAGAGACCTTTCTTTAGACTATTATGATCATTCGATAACGTATGATTTAACCGTTCCACCGCTGTGCTTATTTTCTGGAAAGACCGGTTCTCTGCAGCGAAGCAGAGGGAAAATACGATTGATTCACTTAAGCGAGTATGTGTTTTTTTCTGCTACAGAGTTAGCTGAGCAAATAAGGTAAACCAAATGTGAAAAATAATTTCATTTTTGCTGCTACAACGTACTCTACAAAGGCCTTTTAGAAAACCAAACACAGTGTCGGGATCCCCAAGATTTAAGCTTTCGAATGATTACTCAAACTTCAAATAAAAGTCTTGTTTAGTAAAAAAAAGATCTCCCAAAATTTTAGAGTCAAAATGACCTTTAGAGTCTAGAGTTTTCAAAATTATGGTTATGGCGCCGCTGGTTATTTCTTAGGTGATTTTCATCCATCACCTTATGATAGGATTATATGAGTGGTCGCTAAGAAAAGTGGGAGACATTTCCGAAGCCATTTCTATCATTCGACTGATTTTTACGCTCTGGAAATCTTATTGACGTTATGACAACCAGTATTCGAAGCTACTAGTTCGAATACTAGTTATCACAATAGCTGTCAGACCAAATGGTTCTATGAAGCGAAATCGCATGCCCGACCAAATCTGTTGAGGGTTGGTCGCCGATAGCTAACATAAAGATGTTAAAGAATGAGTGGTGGCGCAATTGTGCCACGGTGGTTTAGTGGTAGAGCACGCGTCCTCGGATAGGATGAAGCGCGGGTTCGATTCCCGTCTGAGGCCGTGTTCTTGCTCATTACTCAATTCTCTTAGTTATAATCACCTTTACGCCGGATTACACCACATATTGATAGATCCTCGAGTTTCCAAGAAAACCGGCGAAGTTAAGGAAAATTTCAGCGAGTAGGAAAGAGGCATTATCAACCTCATAGCGACTTATCCAGCGTAGCTCGTAAAATCACACATTAACTTGTTGATCGAAGGCGAATTGCCCGAGTCTATCGGCTTGCGAAAACACTAACAAACCTAATGAAGAGGTTAGCTTACAAGTAATCGCACAAAGCAATATAGAGCATGAAAAGCGAGAGAGGGAAGACGAAAAAGGTGAGAAAAGATGAAGGGAGGAAAGGAGAGAAATTTCCGTGAAAAATGAAGAGCTCCAAAACAAAGGAGTAGAATAGAGCAAAATTTTGCCATGGAGCGCGCTCTTAGCACAGTGCAGCAGATAGCGTTGCAGCGCAGAAAGAGCAATGGCAAAACGGACGACAATAGCGCAGTGGTTTAGAGCGAGCGCTTCAGGATAGGGTGAGATGCGGGTTCGAGTCCAGCCTGAGCCTGCAAAAGCTCTGCCTGTTTATGTTCCCTTTTTCCCCTTTACTTGGAGGCTTCCATTTCTTCGCAAAATGAGTGTTAAGCAAGTCGACCCTCAGAGATTTACCGCCTGCGGCTGGGAGGTGCTCCTGGGTGTCGAACAGCGAAGCACAGCGGAGGATTCATCCCTCAGCCGGGTCTCGCGAGCTGAGAAAAAGCCTGACGTTTCCACCCGGAAAGTCCAGCTAAGAGAAAACCGTACCACGAATTATCGTTGTTTTGGCAGCTTCTCATCGCAAGGTGGTAATTTCCCTCTGGTGCACAAGGGGTCGGCGATTGCCTAGTGTGGTGACGACCTCAGGAAAGCTCTGGTTAGATTGACCTCGGGTGCCCAGAGAGAAAGAGTCAATGCAGCAAGGAACTTCCTGCCTCAGTACGCCGCCCATTGGATGCTCCCGTGTACGACGTCGGGCGGTGAGACGATCGGTGAGAGGCGACCAAACTTAGTTTCATTTGAAAGTCGTTGAACAAGCACATAACGAACACGTCTACGACACGAAGACTGCTTTTTATCTTGAACTTTTAACACCAGAACATCTCAGGCTCTAATCTATACGCTTTTATTAAGGCTGCTGGTCACATCAAGTTGAACGAGATCGCCTTACGAGAAACGAAAATCAGGAAGACCGACAAAGGACGATTAGACGACGGAACTCGGAACGACGCGAAGCGAAGTACCCGTCACGAAATGTCGGAAGCGTTGACTCCGTCGTCCACCCAAATGTCTTCCATTCGGCCATCTCGTACGAATTTTTAGGAAAAATTTAGTTTTCAAAAAAATAGTTTCTTGCTGGAAAAATTCACAAAGTTTAGAAAAACAATTAACCTGGGAAAATACGGAATCGGAAAACGAAATGAGAACAAGATTGTCTCGCAAAACTATTCGCGGCACGTCTCTTCCAGGGAAGCTTAATTTTGGAGAAAAGAGAAATCCGCCGAGGGGCAAGGGATTCTGCCAACAGCCCGACTCATTCGGAGATCGACCATATAATTACGAACAGAAAATGGCTCCTCTTCGAGACTTGAGTGGTGCCAGGATTCTGCATGGGATAATAATAACAGTCTTTCACTAGCAAAGATTCGACTGCCATAGGCTGGAAATGGACTGTTGTCATCTCTCAAGAAAAGCAAGACAAGTCGCCTACGACGACGAGTTTTTAGTATGATCCTGTACTCGTAGAACTGGCAGATTAGAGAAGACCCAATCGAATATTACGACTTGTTTGACATTATAAAAAACCTGTGCCGAATGAGCGTTAGTTTCCCAGAGAAAAAGTTTAGTTACATCTGTACTACCATCAAGGCAATAACGAAACGAACTAAATCTTGATCCATCTCAAACACACTAATTTGATGATAAATGCAACTTGTAGAAGATCCTTGCAAGAGGATGTACATCAAAATAAAAGTTAAAAATATTCAGAAGCAACACAAACTAGATCTAGACTGAAGGAAGGCCGTCGTGATCTCTGCACCTATTATATTCCGCTATCCGCACAGATGAATGAAGATGGAATCATTATTATATAATCATTACTACAATGCATACCTCCTCCATGATCTGGAAATAATATCGGAAGAGCTGTATATCAATCATTTCCGCTCCACAATCTTCGTCTAGGACCCTTAAAATCCCCACTAGTGAGAAACCACCCGAGATTTTAGCCTCTGAAGTTAGAGTTGCGTTGGAAAGCATGAAGAGAGTCACATCTCCAAAGCGTATATTATCATTGCTCATTTCTTTAGAGTAGGTGACCACGATCTTTACGTATTTCTCTCAGGACATGTTACATTGTATCTTTGATGAGAAAAATTCCGAATCGGTAGAGTGCTTCGCGCACAGCCATCCTGCTCAGGATTGGTGACAGAAGGGATCTTCGAAACTAACGTCCAATTTTCTTGTTGAAATGTACTCTAAGGGCTGTTCATAAAGATCGTCCTTTGGGCAGGCATATCGAAGACCACTGCGCATTGGATAAGGCACAGCTAGCTGAACAAGCAGGATTCTGTAAGGGATTCTGCTGCATGGACCATATCCAAGCCGTGTCATGAGGTCATTGAAGTCTGTTGGGAACATCGTATCCTCTGTGTTTTAACATTTTATATACTATGCTAAAGCGCTTGGCAGCATCGAAGCAAACACAATCCTGTCAGAGCTCATCCATCGAGGTATAGACCCATCCCACATACGAATATTAGCAAAGTGCTATCGAAAAATCAGCACAAAAACACGGCTTCCATCAATCTCTTCGCCATACCCACGGAATAAGTGATTTTGACAAAGCAACACTGTATCTCCAAGGCTATTCATTGCTGTACACTACACTGATGAGATATTGCTCGATTGGGACGAGTTAGGCATACGGATTGATGGAAAATTCTTATGAAAACCCTCGTATCGCGGAAGGCA